CCCGGCGGCGGCAGCAGCAGCAGCAGCAGCAGCAGGAGACGGAGACCGAACCCATCATTGCCCGACGTCTGGAAATGCGAGCGAGGCGGGTGGGCTTCTCCTGCCCTCGGCTCTGCCCGGATAAGCGGTCAATGGCCGGACCCCGGCGGAGGCGCATGCGCGCTGCGGCACCTCGGCTCGCCCGCGGGTTTTCTGCTGCTCTAAAGATCCGCTGTTTTCCCCAGCCAAACCCTCACTCCAGCCGCTTCCTCCCCTCCCAGTGTCCTAGTCTCCTGTCGGCTCTCAGTCCTTAGTACTCTGCTCGGGGTACTCGGCCCAAGTCCTAAGGAAAGCGGCCCACAGCCGGCTGGCCGCACCCTCTGGAAGGCACGGACCTGCTCCACTCGGCCCCAGGCGCCGCCAAGCCGCTCCCCCGGGAAACCGCCGGCGGGAACTTGGAATTTGGAGGCCCCAAGTTTTCCAAGCAGCCAACCTGAGGCCACTGGCCTTGCCACCCTGCACTTCAGGCAGCTGCCTCTGTCCCTTGTCCAGTAGAGCTTCAGCTTTGGGGAGGAGGAAGGGGGGAGTGGTGGTGGCCTGTCCTGTGTGAGAAAGGGCCTCGGTCCCTCAGGGGCTTCTGGTCCTGCTTTATTTCCACACACTCAAAGACCCTCCAGTGAGGAGGAAGCTCCTTGGACTCCAGTTCTTGGCTCCTCTCTGACTCTGCCACCTTGACCCATGACCTCTGCTCTGCATGCAGCACTCACACCTGAAGTAGGAGACCTGCTGAGGCCTCACTGAGCAGGTGAAGGTGTGAAAAGAACAGGAGTCTACCCTCCACAAAGCACAGGAATTTCCCTCCAGGCTTCATCTGCCCACAGTGGGTGTGGGTCCCACCCTGGGATGCAGGGAGTTGCATTCTCAGTCTTGCTGATTTCTGGAGCTTCCTGGCACCCCCTCCCCCCTTTAATCTCTCCCTCAAGACTCTTCCCCAAAGGGCCCCCATCACACACCCATAGCAGTCTTTCTACCCCTATTCTGGTGTAAACTGCAGAACCCTGACCTGCAGGGGTGTCAGAAAGTGAATGGGAGTGATATGTGCCTGGCTGTGAATGACTGCAGGCTCCTGTCCAGTGGATGGGAATTCCTGACAGTACAAAGTGCCAGAACTCAGTGCCTGGGGTACTGGTTGAGAACCAGCAGGTGAATAGCTTGGTGGACCTCAGCACATCAGAGAATTAGAGAGGAAGGCGGAGGTGAGATGGCACATTATTCTGGCAGTGATGAGATCTGGGGACACAAGTCATGGGGCACCACCCCCTGCAGCCACACCCTCAGTTAACCCCCTGTCCACTCACCTCCGCCACACTGCAGAGGGTGGTGTAACCTCAGAAGAGCTACTAGGCCCCTTCTCTGGTAGTTTTCCTGCCTGCTCCTGCCTTACTTCCAGGGCCAGTTCTGTCCCAGGGCCTGTGCAGCCCCTGCTGGGCCTCATCACACTCTCTGGAAAGGCCTGGGAGGGGTGGAGTACAGAGAAGAGGGGGGGACAGTGTCCTGCAGGTGGGGTGAAGATGGTAGGAGCATGGAGGTGAAGCTGAAGTAGAATTTACCTGGAACACCCATTTTCTGAGCATTTTAATACTCATTACAGGAGGGCATTATTCAAAACACTTGGTAAAGAAGATAAAAATCCTTCACCTCAGTTTCCATTTTAGTGAAGAATTTGAGGTACCGGCATTCTCATGGGGTTCAAGGCAACAGGCAGTGTGCCTAAGCAAAGTCTAGAATTGAGAGTTGTCCAGATAGACTTGATATCAGTGGTTTGAAAGACTGCCTTACGAATCTTCATTTTGTAGCTCAGGTTTTACACTTTTATAAATATCCTGATAATACTTTTGATAGCAAATCAGACATGTATTCAAGGTTCATGGAGCAAATACTTCAAGATAGAAATTGGGAACACAGGAAATATATGCTGTTAAGCCCCCCCGGCTAGGCCCTCTGTCGGGGTCTCTGACTCATCATAACTTTCCTGGTACCAGCTCCTGGAACCGGCTGAAACTACACCAGGATATCATCGGCTGACCACCACTGAGACATCTGTTCTTGGAAACCTGTCCTTGGGTGCCTTGGGAACTGGTCCTTGGGTGGGGGGAGGGAAATGCACTGGACTATGGTGATGGGTGATTTGGTGATGGGAACCCATGGGGATGACAACTGAGATGGAAATATTTAAATAATATAACAGTTTATTTTTACATCATTTTGTACTCTTTTTGTGTTTTATCTCAATTGTAATCCCCGTGGGTTTCCCATCACGCCTCCCTGTATTCTGGACTGCTGAAAGGAAACCACCTTGATGATTTGTTGAAGGTTTTAGTGGTGTCTGAAAAGGAGGGAAAGCAATTGATGACTGATAGTAAGTAAAAGAAAGAAGGAAAGGGAGAGTAGTTTTGTCTTAAAATTAAAATGTCTGGTTATGTCAGAATGTGGAAGAATAGAGAAAAGGCAAAACTTGAGTATATGTAGTAAGTTGTAGAAGGCTTGAGGGGAAGTGAATTTCATTTGCCTGGGTTTATAAAACCTGAAGATGATGGGTTTCAAAAGAAACAATGATATGCATAGAAAATATGGCATATTTGGTAGGTTTATTCATATGATGGAAAACTGATTAATCTTATGGTTAAATGTTTTTGTTAAAATAAAATCCTAGTCTTAAAAAAAGCACCAAAACTTAAAATCACAAATATTAAAATTACAAAAATTAGATTATAAATACACTTATGGACATAATATTAAATTATGTTTTATTTGTTATCAACTATCTTAGTTGTAATTCTCTCCACTGGGAGCCAAAACAGTTCTAACCAAACCACTAGTTATGTATAAGGACTTGCTGATAAAATTATAGAAACGACCAGATATATTACTAACTTGTGGGCGAGGCTATGCTTCTGTATTTTCTACAGGATGTCAACTCACTCTTGTAGATCCTGGATAGATTATTCAAAACCATCACTCACAAGCATCCACCACTCCCAAGACCGACTCATACACTTTTGCCTCCAATAAATGTTCCAGGCGAGTACCACTCTGCCCATTCTCCTAAAGCTACTGAAGATACTGCGGTTCCTCCTCCACTGGCTGTAACTTAAAAAATCGTAACTAATTGTATTGATTGTTAAACTCCTTGTACTATATTACTTGTTGATTTAGATGATAAATTGCACGATAACTTCGGTGTATATATACTCTTCAGCTGGTTAAATAAGCTTTAAATTACCAAGAGATTAGCTGCTGCTTTAATTCTTTAAAATTACTGCTCTTGGCCCTCCCTGGTGGC